TCAGGGTGCCCTTCCCTTGGGACACTGTCCCACCTCAGAGCTGTGTGGTCTCTGGGCCCCTGTGTCTCAGGATGCCCTTCTATTGTAATACCTCCCCAGGTCTCAGAGTTGTGAGTTTTCTGGACACCTTCTCATGCAACCATTAAGGCCAACATGTCGTGAGGCATAATGTAACCACAAAAGTATGGACATTTTCCGTGTTGTTGTTTAGAAAATGAGTCCTAGAGAAAACATTGTGCAGATGTTCTGAGAGCATCTCTGACGTTTGAACGTCTTTGCGTGCTAGTGGGGAAGGGGAGTCACATTGCTCTCCTGCCTCCAACAACACGCGCCATTTTGTTTGTCCACACTCCGAATATCAGTGGTTGTGTTTTTCACTTAGAGTTTTGATTTGTACCCCTGACACAGAAATGAAGCCGTCATCACTACTGATAAATGTTAGACTTATGGTAGGACAGGATGAAACATTTGTACCAATGAGTGATGAATGAAGTGTAGCTTCGTGATGATAATTTTATCTTGTCTTCTCCAATGCCTTCTCCTCCCTCAGAATTATAAAATCCAACTGTACACAAAGGCCCATTTTGAGTAATTTTTCAGTATAAAATCTAAGGAGATGGGCAGCTTCCTCTATACAGGTTACCCTCTTGAAGACTCACACTTTGGTACAAGAAATTACTTTTGTGTTTTCAAAATCTGTTAATTCTGCTCTCTGGACCATACAGAGAATGATTAATCTCTGTGAATCCTAGAAAGTTTCCCAGGTCTCAGGAGGCAGCAACTTAGGTGTTGCATTTACAAATCATTCTTATTTCCCTCCATTAGTTCAGCAGTTCTCACGTAATCCTCAGGTTTTCTGTTTCATGGTTTCTAGATATGAAAAAAAAATCTTTCTAATAGTGGCTTTTAATGGTATTTAATTAGTTACCTTTTATTCGGTCTTAATCTTTCTCTCAAATTATATTAGAAATATGTAATTATAACAATTCTAATAACCTGAGGTGACACTGAACAGATCAAGTCTGGCTCCAGAATAATAAAAGGCAACACAGAACAAAATGATTTTATACTTCTCTACCCTGGATTTCTTTGCTGTAACCCCCAAATGTATCTAATAACAGACTGACAGTTATGGATGGTTTCATATTATCAAGGGCGTGAGGGCTGTGCCACTGGGTGAGACTGAAAGTGGTTACACTAATAAAGATAAGCACCTTGTGCTTCATGTAAGTCATTTCTAACCTGTGTTTTCCGTTCTTTCTCCCTCCCACAAAACAAACACGATGGGATGTTGGTAGCTTATGGCTGAAATGAAGAATGCATGGAATGAGCAGAGACAAGATGAATGAATGAAAGATGAAAATATATTTCTTTAGAAAAATATGCACATATACATCTTTGCCTTTTCAATATGCTCTGTATTAATTTATACATGTACATAGCAGAAGCGTTTCACACAATTTAGGTATTACATGCAACACTATGATGAGCCAGTTTGATTTCATCAGCCCCTACTACACCAGCACAATAACATCTCAAATACTTCAGCAATATATTATCACATTTGTACTAGAGCTGCCTGAAACACACTGGTTTTGATGTTTGTAAACAAAAAAATAGGAACATCACCATGTAACACTGTGATTGGAAAAAATACCTTCGTTTCAATTCCTCCCTTACATTTGGTAAAGGAGACACACTCAGTATCCAAGGTCTATAGTCACTAGGGAAATACAGTTTTTCTCTGGGTGCACCAAATACGTAACCAGGACGAATCAGGTTACTTTTGTCTTTAGCCAACTCAATCACTTCTGAAAGGCAGTGACATAAGATGACAGATGAGACAAGATTTTGGAGGGGTTTCAATGAAGTTCCTCATTTAGCAAACAAATTAAATAATGGTAACTGATTGCTGTTGCAGATTCAGAAATCAGTGATGATACTGGTTTATTCATGGACCTTTGAATATCTTATATTGGGGAGTAAAGAGAGATGTGGAAATATAATACCGGGTTTTGATGAGAAGCTGTTTTTACTTTAAGATGAATTAATATGTGGTTAAACTCCAAGTCCTTATGCTGTGTATTTTTTTTCCCTCCTGTTTTGCTAATAGCAGCAAACAGGAGGTCAACTAGAAACTGATTTGTAATTAGCCACACGGAGTCTTCCTGGGAAACCCAGAGATCTTGTTAAGCTTTGAAGCTGGGTGGAAGGCAGTTAATAGACTTGTATGGAGTCTTTTAATTACCAGCCGTAAACAAATCTATCTCTTGCTGCTAGATAGCACCCAAGGGCAAGAGGTAATCTGCTTTATAAACCTTGAAGTGATTTGCTTTATAAATCCTGTAGTTTAGGAAAGTGGAAAACTCTCTTTAAAGAATGTTCTCTTTCACAGAGAATTATGTTTTTGGCAGTTCTGTGAAAAATTTGGCAATTGATTCTTGGTGACCTCCCAACTGATAAATGTCAGTGACCAAAGCACATGCAACACTGAGATCAAATCCTTACAACATTCGGGTCTGCCTGTGGACTGGATTATCCGAAAGCCATCTGAGGAGGGTACAATTCGAGCAAACTCACTCTAAATGTACATCTTCCTGCCCAGTACACAGACCTTCTTCCCACACTCTTCCCCATTCGTGTGTTGAAAAGACATCACCTTTCCGAGGTCATGCTATTTGTGCAGTGTTTACACCGTATGGATGATGATGGTAAAATGTGTAATAACAGGAATTGATTGAAATAAAAAAATTAAAAATCAGATCCATAGCCAAATACAGAAATAGTCTAATTCAAAATCTAGTGTTAAAATTAAAAACCTTGAGAGTGATTGTAATTTCTCAGCGGTACAAATGGCTGGAGGTTAACAAGGAGCACCCTGTTCTGAACTAGGTCAATTTAGTGGCAATTTCTGGATACCTTGACTGCATTCCTATGACATTGGCATCTCCGTCCCAGATGAATGATGGAGTTCACGAGTTGCAGTGGGAGACTCTATTCCTAGACTGTCTCCCAAAGCAATAGTACCAAGGATCACTCTCTTCAACATCACTATGGACAAAATTCACTTAATACTTCTTCACAAATGATATGCTCAGCTCCTGCGGGGGGGAATGGGGGTCACTTGGAATGCATGGTCTATCTTTCCCCCGGGAAATGAAGGCTCAGTGGATCACAATGCTTGGGGCGGCTTCACATTCAAGCGGATTCCTCTTGCTGGATGACGTTCATGGGGATCATTTCAGCACCCTCGTCGCCTTGATTGTTGTTGACGGGAGCGTTCCTTGGCTCCTGGTGGCAGATGTAGATGGGGAGGCCACCTGGCTCCTCAAAGGCGGCGGCGCGGGGAGCCGCAACCACGCGGTTGGTGGGGCGGCGGCGCCTTCCCCAACGCTGGCTCCACTGGATCTTCAGCTGCGCCCACTGGCGCTTCAGGGTGACTTGCACCTGAAAGAGCAGAGGGAGCTTTGTTTCCAATGGCTGCCGGCTGTGACCCAAGCAAACCTCACTTGCATGACTCTCGGGGCTTATTCTTATTTAAAGGAGGCTAAATTGTAGACCTGATCTAAGAACTGAGTTTATACTGTGACGGTGAAATATACCACCCAGGAATAACAATAGGTCAATCCAAGGAGTTTGTTACTTTTCTAGGTAACAACCAGCAAAACTATTTGGTATTTTTGAGCAAAGCTTTCTGTCTTGGCTCTTATAGCCTGCAAAGAAAGGTTGATTCGTTTCATAAAGTAGCAGACATGTCTCATCAGAGGGAAGGCGTTGAGAAAATTTTACCTGCTGCCATTCATGCTAAGACATGAATGTATCAAAATCTGAGCTTTTGGATCATGAAAATATAGCCATAAGCCACAACAGAGCCCTAAATTTTATGACAATGGACCCATGTTGTGTATTTACCTTTACCCAGCAAGGTTCCAAATGAGATGTTCCAGATAAAAAGTCTGACTACATCAGTGAAAACATTTTAAGAATGAGACTTAAGTCTCTTTTTGTAGAAAAACAGTCAGAATGACTTGGTAATCAGGTCTTTTGAAATACTGGACTTTTTCCAACAAACTATAGATGTATGTGTTTGGGTGTAGCATTTTAGATACAAGTATATTTTAAACAGAGAGACAAAATGGTGATGTGTTGAGGAGTAGGTTGTGTCATGCAGCTGGACTTAGTCTTGATAAAAGCCACACAGGGACACAGCTTGGCATAAAGCATTCAGTGAGTACTTACTGACTGATTGCCATAGGCCATATTATAATCACTTGATGTGAATTAATCTGTTTAATCCTCGCAACAGCCTTCCTACAAGGGCACCACTGTTGTGTTCTCTTACAGATGTGAGGGGCTTAGATTGTGCCTTCTGTGCACAGTAAGGGAGCTGCAGCGTGGCAGAAGCCAAGTTCCAAGTGAAGCCTGGCTGTGTTTGGACTGTAGATAAGCCATTTGATGTCAGGCTTATAATCAATATACTCTTGAGAAACTAGGAAAGATGCCAGTTCAGTATCTTTGGAGAGGCAATGTCTGTAGATAAAGGGAACTGATAGTTTCCATGGATTCAGCATCTCTTAGATACCAACATTGTCTTTATAGCTGAAGCTTACTTGGAGTTTTAGAGGCATCCATGGCAGACAGTTATAAATGTAGTGTTAGTTGGCAGAAGTGTCCCACAAGAAAAAAACAAAACCTCTTGCTTTTGTCTCAGCCATCCTTTTGCAATCCCTACCAGAGTATCCACATAACCTAAGTTACTCAGCCCAACATGAGGCCAAAGGATATGAAGTAAAATTTAATATTTATAATTATTATTATGGAAGTTAGCAAGCTTCTCTAATTGCATCCCAAATTTATGAGGCATCCTTTTGTATGGTGATGGCAATTTGCTTCCAATCTGCTCTCATTTATAAGGTGTATGTATAGAAATGGGCCCCAAGCAGCATGTGAAAGATACTGCAATTGATGACAGTTTAATAAGGGTAATTATGTCTTATAGTGTAGACTGATATAGTACTTGGACTATATGGTGCTTTGATGGTAAGAGTAAGGGAATTACATTTGTGATCTTGAAACAATAAACAAACAAACAAAAACAACAAAAAAACCAACCATGAGGCTCTTATTGATTCTAAAAAGCAGTAGAAATGTTTAGAGACACCAAGGGCTAAGTACAAAATATGTTTTGGATTATTTGTTTATTGCTTATTTTGAAAATCAACAAAAATAACTTTAACTTCCCCCTTGATTTTTATCAACTTATTTCTTGCTGAATTTGGAAAAACGAAAGCTTTGCCTGATGGTCTGAAGACACAATTGTTCTTGCTGGCTCTGTATTAAGCTATAGAAGGCTGGTATGTTTGGGCCTTGGTTCCAATACGTGAGGAGACAAACATTTTACGGGAACCTTCTTGGTTAGATTTGAATGCTTTGGTACGCATGCCTCTTTTCCTGTTAAAATTTATCCTAAGCGCCTTTGGTTACATGTCTGAGACGCCCAAAGACTTTATAGCTCAGTCCTGCTCTTCAGTCATCACTCTGTCACCACACCCTGGCACACCTGATCCTCGTAGCCTATCGGTGGACCTCTATGCAAGGCTTTATTTTCCATGATGGTTGTCACTGACAGTAACACGCTGACAATGAATCAAAATTCAATTTTCAATTTTTTTATCCTTGCGTTGCTGATCTATCAGTCCCTTGGATCTTTGCCAAAACTCAGTAATTAGCCAGGCAAAGTCTCCACACAGACTTATCTCAGATGCAGCTGGATGCAACCTCCTATGAAAGTGAGAGCCTTGCCTGTGTCCAGTGACAGAAGGGGAAGTGCATGCAGTGTCTAGCTGAGACCCAGACGCCTGACATCCATGGGATGGTGATATTACATTTGGCGCAGCATCCTATTTTTCTAATATTAGAAATGTCACGTTTACACCTTCCTCTAGCTACATGATCTTAATGAAAACAGAAATGTTTCAAAAACAGGAAAAAAAAACCATATGCAATAAACTCCAGCTATTTCAACTGTCGTGAGTACCCCTTGGGCTTTCTTTCTATGTCTGAGACTCCCAAGAGACATTGTAGTTAAGGCACAGTTCATACTGTGGCAATTTTACAAATGCTTACAGTCCTCTTGTGCTTTCTGAGGGCTGGTCCTGCTGAGCCTCTTTTAGCACTGTTTTAGATGAAAGAATTTGTTTTGTATATTAAAACAAACTTAAAATGTAAGAGTCCACATGCACAGAGTATCCTCACTGGGGCCGCAGTATTCTTCATGATATAAGCCCTATTCATATTTTCGCTTTTACTGTTAAAGAATAAAGGCAGGAGAAGAGGTTGCTCTACCAGTTACCAATGGAAGCATATCTCATTTAACTCCAGACTCTTACTATGTCCCTTAGCAATCATGAGTACACAAACACAATTTGTTGAGGGGAGGAGTAAGCTGTCGGATAAAAGAATAAGATGTATCAATGAAAAAAATAATAAACTTTTTCTGAGTTGGATTTGTAGATGGGATTCAGGTGGCAAAGCAAGCAAGTGTTTTAGATATTTAAAGTATTATTAAAAAAATAGAACAGGTATTAGGTACCATTGTGCTTAGAAAATGTTCTTAAACAGTAACAGGATAGTATATGGTCATATAATAACAAACTGTGATTTGCCTTGAATAGAATTATTTTTAAAGGGAATTAATTACCAATGACAAGTATTCAAATGATGTGGTCTTTATAAAGAACAGTATAATTTCTAGGGAAGGATCACACATATAGATAATTTAACTGAATGTTAGTTAATTTAACTGAGAGTTAGAAAGTCTGGACTCTGGTCCTGGCTGTTCCAGTTGTATCTGTGACAGTGTGACAGCAACAGCATTTTTTTTGGAACTCAGACTCCCAGCTAAAATTTGAGGGGAACTTTTGAACTGTGTTCCTTGAGATCGTGGAGGCTCCCTGGAGGATCCTCTAGGGATATAGCTCCTCCCTTTTCACATTTTACACACTGAGTTTTCAGGCATGATTTTGTTAGAAGAAACTGCCTTGGTGGCTTGGTTGGATAAGTCTCTGCAGTACACGGATCCAGATATTCAGTTTATTATAGAAGGCTTTACTCCATGATGGCAGTCACTGACGGCAATACACTGACAGTGAATCAAAATCAAAATTTTAATTTTATCATCGCACTGCTGACATATCAGCTAAGGGAGCTCTTGGGCTGTATGTGTGGTTTCATCGCGTATCCTTAAGTGAAATTCAGCCTGAGGTAGTAGTAGAAAAAAAAAATATCCCTACTATCCTATTACTCACAATCCCCTGTGAGAGCATGCGGAAATGAGATCTGGCGAAAGTGTGCTGCAGTCCTTTGGAAACTGTAAAATGCTGGCTTTCTACGCGTGAGTGTTGGCATTCCGAGAAATGCAGGCTTACCTCATGGTTGCAGAAGCAGTAGATGGTAGCGACAAAAAACCCCTAAAAAGAGAAGGGAAAACGCAGCTGAAGAGTTTTGCATGATGTGTTTGTATGACATCCTTTTATAAAATCACCACACAGACTGTCTAGAGAGGAAAATTCCACTGCTGAAACGGCAGGTCAAAGTTTGATGAAACAGAAAGGCAGGGGAAAGAGTGATGTGCCTCTCCTATTCAGGGTTATGTTACAAAAATATTTCCATTAGAATTTTTTTTCCTCAGTGGTAAAGCATAGACATACTATTAGACACGTATTTCTTGTAAAGATACTACTACTGTTCAGCAACTAGCAAGGGTCCTAGGGAATTTGCTTAATATATTATTCCATTTAGTATGGGCAGTTTTAGTGATTGTGTTGATTATAGTGGATTTGGAGAGTCTTTGTACTTTAAAAAGTTAAAAGCTATAATTAACAGAGGAATATTTTGCAAGTCTGAGTGTGAAGCCATGGACTGTTAGTTAGTGAGGGACTATGCCACATATGTCTCTGAGAAACCTGGACTCAAAATACCTAGTTGTAGCCTTTATTAGAACTTTTAACCTGGGCCAAATCTTTGGAGCAAATGGAAACAAGGCACCTGTTCTCTTTTCTGGTTTGGCTAACCTCAGCCCAGGACGGCACTGATTCATTTTGTGCTCTTCTACATGAGAAACATGAGAAACCCAGGCATAGTGACTGTTCCTGTACAGGCCTAGAACTGTCATGGATAGGTTTCGGCAGCGAGAGCTGAAGGAGCAGGGGCAAGGGCAGCTCTGTGCAAATGTGTTGCCCTCATCACTCCAGAGTCACATTGGTTTATGAAAGAAATGCTCGAAGCTACTTGATATGTGAAAAGCTGTCTAGGGGCCATTACAGGGTCCTGAATATCAATAAAGCGGAAACAAATGCCTCATAAAGCCCGATTTCCTTCAAAAGTTTTGCTTGGGCCTGCTGAGTCGAAGGCTATGCGTCCTGACTTTTAAGATCATAATCTCACAGTGGAGATTGTGGGTTTTCGTCAGATGGGCCTGCCAGGGCAACAAGCCCATCGAGTGAACACATAGGGTTGGTGTCCTTACCTGGAAATGAATCAGAGAGTGCATGACGTAATCATAGATCTTCCCAAGCACCTTGTTGGAAGGCCTCCAGGGAAACACGACAAACTGGATCCCCAGCAGGGGCACAAGAACCATGGTAGCCTTCACAGCCTTCAGGTACCTGTAGGTTTCAGCCTCATGTGTCTGCCTCAGCTTGGTCACGAGCACGCGGACGATGTTGAGCAGAAAGAAGAAATTGACCTGCAGAGATTCGCAAGAGCAAATACTCCATTACTGGGCTGCGGACAGTGTGGCATCTCTAATGGCTAGAGATCTTTCAAAATAAAAGATGCTGACAAGGCTTGGGGAGACAGCCCGCATGCCAATCTAACTTGTTCAGTTACTGATGGATGCCTCCTCAGTGCCGGGGGGGGGGGGCAGAGTGTGGCCATCCGGATCTCAGTCCATTTTTATATTTATTTATTTTTATTTTTCAGTATGAGAAAAGAAAAAAAAAAGAAAACACCGTCTTTGATATTAAAGCGATATGTTGCCATCACCCTAGGCATGCAAATGAGTTTCTCCACCTGTACAGTAAAATACATTTGTTTTGAAGAATATAATTGGTTCCTTTATGATAGAAAGGCATTAAATTAGCTTTATTTTGTAGCTACAGTACACATGCCATATAGAGATATACTCATAAAGCTGGGCAATGACAGTGATGGCAATATATATGTATACATTTATTAATTTAATTTTTTCTTTATTATTATTATTTATTACAATTTATTCACTTTGTATCCCGGCTATAGCCTCCCATCTCATTCCAGTTCAACCCCCCTTTTTTCTCCACCCTCATGCCCCTCCCCTAGTCCACTGATAGGGGCGGTCCTCCTCCCCTACTATCTGACCATATAACCTATCAGGTCTCATCAGGACAATGGCGATATATTTAAAAATCAATTCTTACCACCAGAGCCATCATGACGGGTCCATGGATGATGTAGAGCAAGTGGGTCTCCACACTCAGCCAGCAGCTGAACCAAAAGCAAAGGTCCACATCAGTACAGGTGTGCTTTCACTTTGGAACACATTTAGCCTAAAAATCAGTGTGATACTTACTTGTCGTTGTAGTAGAGAGCACGAGTAACGGCATGGATGATGGTTGGCACCACTGGGAACCCTAAAATCGGGCAAAGCACAAATCAGACGTGGCTCCCATGCCATAAGCTTACCTACGATTGGATGGGTAATGGTAGTGGCAAATTGATTGTGGCTAGCAAGACCTTCTCATGATGTTTGCTTATCCATTGTTATCTTTGGTCAAGCCAGAGGGAACCACTCCTGGCTGCTGCAGCAGCGCCAGCTTGTGGAGTCTGGCTAAGAGCACCCAGGCAATTAAAAGCCTTTCAAAATTCTTAGCTTGTAGCAGGCACATTGTAACTTGCACCATGACCCTCCCTAACATGGCTGGTTTTGAAGATGCTTTTGCTGATATTGTGAACTTCTCACCTGGTAAGAGACTGGGCCACCCTTAAGGGATGTTGTGAAAGCCTCCCTTGATGTTCATAGGATTCCTTTTGGGTATCTCAGTTCCCTGCTTACCTCATGTACAATTCTTTTTAGAACAAGTATTTCAGAGAAGCCAGTATAGTCTTACCCCTCTACGTTCTGGCTGTGCCTTACAGAGGAAGTGTAGTGTCCTCTTTCTTGACTAAATCAAAGCACAAGCAAACATAATTAAAACTCCCCTTGAGTTTATATTCAGGAAAATACAGATGATATCCATTCACCATGCCAAATTACATATTTTAAAATAATTTTTCTTTCCATGAGTGTATTTTAAAGTTGTAATTTTCCTTTAAAAAAGATTGTCTTTTTTTTTAGACGGATGTACCTAGTACATGATAATACAGCTTGATTTGATTGAAGCATCTGTAGAAAGAGGTTTGTTGTTACAGTCAGGTTAAGAAATGTGTCTCTAGAAAGAACTAAACTTCAAATTTCAGTAAATGAGATGAAAAAAAAAAGAGAAAGCCTCAAACTATTAGGTTTTCACATAAAATAATGTTGGTTTCTAAATGCATAAATTAAGTAATTCAATAACACCACTGATTATATATTGGGTTGAAATAATTTTAACCTGGACTATTTACACAACATACGATTGTGCTATTTACAGCAGCTCTAACAGGCTATTTTCTTGTTTGAATTTAAAGACTCACAGTTATTGTCTGGATCTGTTTTGAAATATACATTTTAGGATTAGATAACAAGAAACATAATACAATTATAAAAAGGCGTTTTGGAATCTGAGTCTACCTCTCCAGGTCCCTGAAGGCCAAGTGTATTTCCTAGCTAATGGGGTAAGCCCTAGATATCACTTCTAGAGCTTGATGCCTTCCTGTGGCTATTTTGGCTTTTTAAAATATGCAGTTTGGGTTTTTCTCTCTGTTCCTATTCTTCTCGTCCCCAAGACACTTGCTTTTCTCCTTCTTTCTTTCTTTCTTTCTTTCTTTCTTTCTTTCTTTCTTTCTTTCTTTCTTTCTTTCTTTGTTTCTTTCTTTCTTTCTTTCCTTCCTTCCTTCCTTCCTTCCTTCCTTCCTTCCTTCCTTCCTTCCTTCCTTC